ATAAATAAATAAACAAAACAGAAAAAAAAGACATATTGCTGATCAAAAACATCATTATTTTGTTGCCTACAATTTCCGGCTTTGTTTGTTTGTTGTCGTTTGTTTGTTTGATAACCGGGATTACATGTTCGGGATTTTTTTTTCATTCTAGGGAACCAAGTTGTTTCTTTTTCTTTCTCTTGGTACAAAATTATCAAGGACAAACGTTATATATAACCCTGCCGAACATATGTTAATTCGATGTTATATTTGTATTTTTATAAATTTTATTCATAAATAAATAATGGATAAACTAAACAAAGTTATAAACTTATAATAATATTAATCAATAAAACAAAAACTGGAATTTATAGTTTTACTTTGAAAACATCATCCAAATATATTTTGATGACGTAAATAATATTTGAAAATGAATGAATGAATCCATCATTTTGAAAAATGTAATGTCAAATTTACATCAATGTTAATACTGTGAAGATGTAATTTAGGAATGTAATTTGAAAGTTTTTTTTTGATGAATTTTATTTAAATTTTTACTATTTTTCTTTGAAAAAAAGTTCAAGATTTACATTTAATGTAAGCAAATTTCTTATGATTAATCTATCGATTGCTGATCTTATGATGGGTATGTTGAAAATTTTTGTTCGGTTTTGAGAATTTTTAAAAACCATTTTTTACATTTTAGGAGTTTATCTATTTATCATTGCTATTGTTGATCTACGAACACGTGGTGTTTATTTTAATTATGCAATCGATTGGCAACATGGTTCGTTTTTTTTGTTGAATATTTTGTTTTCGTTGGTTTTGTAATTTTTTTTAAAATTAATATTTTTCAATTTAGGAATTGGTTGTAAAATAGCCGGTTTTATAACTGTATTTGCTCAATTATTATCAATTTTTACATTAACTGTGATTACATTGGAACGTTTATTTGCCATTACATATGCAATACAATTAAATCGTCGTTTGAAATTAAATTTAGCCGTTAAAGTAATGATAACCGGTTGGTTTTTAGTTATACTATTAGCATCATTACCATTATTTGGTATTAGTTCATATTCAAAAACAAGTATTTGTTTACCAATGGAACATAATAAAATTGGTGATATTGTTTATTTGGTTACATTATTGATTATTAATCAATTAGCATTTATTATTATTTGTGCTTGTTATTCAAAAGTAAGTTTTCTATTTTTGTTCTGTTTGTTTGATTATTCTTACTATAATCATTATGATTTTCTCTTCTTTTTTTTTCCTCGTAAACAAAGATGTATTTTTCGATAATAAGCCAAAAAACACGTGCTACAATGAATGATATGACAATTGCAAAACGAATGGCATTATTGGTATTTACGGATTTTGCATGTTGGGCACCGATTGCATTTTTTGGTTTAACAGCTATTGCCGGTTATCCATTAATCGATATGACTAAATCAAAAATATTATTAGTCACAATATATCCATTGAATTCATGTGCAAATCCATTTTTATATGTTATATTTACAAAACAATATAGACGTGATTTTTTTATACTTGTTTCACGTTATGGTTTATTTAAAAATAAAGCATTAAGATATAAACCAAGTCAAAGAAATTTTTTTAATAATAATAATAATAATCATCATAATCATAACCATCATCATCATCATCATCATAGATTTTTTCATCATCATCATCATAATCATAATCATCGGCATATACGTAGTCAACCATCACCATTAGATTCAAATGATTTATCCAAAAAATCACAAAATCATCAATGTACAAAATCTATTGCCGGTAATGTTATTTTTTTTCTGATTTACATTTAAAACAACCAGGATTAACTTTTTTCCTTCAAATCAAAAAACAAAACAAAACAGGTTCAATACAACAATTGGATTTGGATTCAAAACAAAGATGTCATTTAAAAAATCATCATCATCATCATTCAAATAATAATAATTTTTGTATAAAATATCATCATGGTGATAATGATGGTGATCAATCATCATCAATAATAATTGCAAATCAATGTTCACAATGTAATAATCAATGTTATTGTCAATATTGTTGTTCAACAATGGTGAACAATATACAAAGTGATCAACAACAACAACAACATTCACAGAATAATCATCAAAATAATCATGGTATATGTGGTTGCTCAGAAACCGATTCAATAATAAACAACAAAAATGACAATCAATGTCATCAATGTCATAATGATAATGGTTGTAATGGACAACGTATAACAGCAACAACGACAACAACAAATATATTACAACAACAACAACAACAAGGAATGAATGTTAGAAAATTATGTGGAAATAATAATCATCCATCATCAAAGAATAATTGTATACAACAAGAATTTTATAGTGATAAATCAATAAATGATTCAAATGATGATGAACAACAACGTAAACATCGTAAACATAAACGTTGTCATCATTATCAACAACATCAAAATTATTGTCAACAACGTAATAATAATCGATATTATCATTATAATTGTGATCAACAAACAAATTTTGAAAATAGACGACAGAATGGTGTATTAATACGAACAGAATCAAATGATTGTAATAGTGTAAGTAATAATAATCAACAGGAAAAAGAATGTTTCTGTATTGGTGATGGACGAATTATAAATTCAAATAAAAATTTTATTGAAATGGAAAATTTATCCGATAATCTACCACAACCACCTAATTCATCAATTGAAAGGAATTCATCACAACAACAACAACAACAATCATGTGAAAGGGTACATATTGTACGAAATAATAATCATCATTGCCATCATCATATGGCTGGTCACGATATGATAAATGGTCGGGTATTATTTACCCGTCATAATAAAGATCATCATCATCATCATCATAATGGTCCTATTTCGATCCAAATGGATAAATCAAATAAATTAAAACGAAATAGTTTAATAACAAATTTTTTTAATCGTTTATCAATATCGAAACGTTTAATAAAGAGAATGGCAATAAAATCGAATGAAAATTCAACATCATGTGATCATCATAATCATCATCATGAATCATCGGATATACAATCATGTTCACCATATTCATCAACAAATTCATTATATCGTAATCATCAACAAATGATTAATAATCGTAATAAACAACAACATTGTCATCATCATCGTTGTTATCATACACAACAACAACAATGTCAACATCGTACACGGCAATTTAATTCATTACAATCGAATCATTATTATCATCAACAATATTCAGATCATCAAAATAATAATGATGATGATATTGAACCAAGTAATCCATTACCAATTGAAGAACAACGTGAAATATTAAGACAAGCATTACAGGAAACAACAACAATACAAGAAGCTGTAGCTGTTGTTGAAGAATTAAGTAGTGGTGGTGTAGCAGCTGCACGATTATCATCATCACATGGATCATCATCGAATAATAGTTCGAAAAAAATATGTCATACAAATAATAATCAGATGAATGAATAATTTATACGAATTTTCCGGACAACAACAACAAAAAAACGGAAAAGAATTACCATCATCAGACGGAATTATCAGAATTATTGTTATTCATTCGTAAATAAGATTATAATAATAAAAATGATAATGATTTTTCAAAAAAAAACAGCCATTAAACTTAATAATTAATAATAAAAATGATATTTTTTAAATGTGACATTAAGATGAAGAATATTCTTCATTTCATTCTCTCTTCCAAATAGATATTATCAATAGGTTTTTAAATAGAATTTCATTGAAAAATAAGATAAAATTATTAATAAAACAAACACCAACGTCGTCAAATGATTATCGATCAATTGGCTTCGGTCAGTATGGTCGATTCACTTGAAAATAGATTCTTGTTATTTTCATTTTCATGAGAATAAATATTGATAAGATAAATAGGTTTAATAGACATATCTATGTGGCTAAAGAGATGATCACTTTGTTTTGTTTTTTTCAAAATTTTGTTTTTGAAAATTAATATTATCCGAAAAACAAATGGAATAAAGTTGAAAAAAACAAACACAAATGGTGTCTATAAATAAAATTAATTGATATCTCTTTTTCATTGTTTTATACTTTCATTGTGTTAAAATATCTAATTAGGTTTGTTTGAATTTTGTATTATAATCTTATACCGGAATCGGATGAAGAAAAGTTTGGTTAATTGAATAAATAGAAATCCCAAAAAGAAAACTCAAACATCAAGCCAAGAAGTTTAATTTTCTTTTGGAAAAAAGAAAATCAATTTTTAATTCCATGGAAAAAAATAGGTGTGTGTTTGTTTGCCAGGAAAATAGAACCAAACCTTTTTTTTTGGTTACAAACAAACCCAAAAACCAGAAAATTCAAAAAAAAAACCAACAGCAACCAAAATCAAAATCAAATCATAGATGGCAGTCTAAGTAGAGGGAAATGGCGGTAAACATTATTACATTCAATCAAATGATTATTAGACACAAAAACCAATAATAACAAATTCATTTATTTTTATGAATGATAAAAACCGAAATGAAATGAAATGAATGAATGAAGAAAACCACTACCGCGATCATTATCATTGTATTTTTATATGTGTTTAATGTGTGTGTAAATATTTATTCAACATAAATTGTTATCATTTTATTATTTATTTCCTCTCTCTTCCTTCCTCTCTTTTAAAAAGTTCATCACGATCAGCAGCAAAAAAAAACGTCATCATCTTTACGTAAGAAAAATATATATCATTGTCGTCAGGTAAAATCGGTAACCATTTTTTTTCCTCTAAAAAAAACAAAGATTCTGTTATTTTAATGATAATAATATTAGAAGAAGAATATTCTTGAACAAAAAAGATATCTATCACAACCAAACACATTCACAAAGATTCATTTTTTTTAATGATGGTCATCCTATATTTGTTTGTCGAAAAATTTTCTTTTAAAATTTCTAATCTTTCGATACACGCACCATTTGTGTGTGTGTTTGTGTGTTATCTAACCGAAAACAAACCATTAAATGAAATGAAATATTAAGATATGATCAAGAACGACAACAACAACAACAACAACAGAAAATTGATTCCATTTATAAAATATAATTCAATTAAAAAAGGGAGAGAGAAAACGAAATCATTAAAAATGATCATCAACAGCATCAACATTTACCTTGTTTATTTTACTTTATTTGCAAACAAACAAAAAAAAATTGATTGTTAGAAATTGTTGGAAATTGCTTTTGAAATGATTGATTTTTTTATTTATTATTATTCATCTTTATTTTCTGTGAAATTCAAAGAAATTCATAATATTCTAATAATTAATTAACAAATAAATATGAACAGTCATTCAAACTTTTTTGTTTTGAAATTATCATTCAATAATTAATTGATTTTTTGGTCAAAGAATCATATCAAAGATAATGACAGGTGATGTTAGAACGATTGAAATGTTGATTATCCTCAAGAATTGTACCAAATTATCATTGATTAGATGATGATGATGATGATGATTGTTCCATATCATTATTATTACTTCTTTCTTCATTAATAGTCGATAAAATTGAATTAATCTTCATTGAATAATCATCATTATCATTATTATTATTATTTTGATTGGATAAAATATGGAACATTGTTGATGATCCATGTTGTTGATTTTGATGTTTTCGTAGATTTGATTGTTTACGAAATTTTCTTCCACAAACATTACAATCATAAGATTCATTGATCGATTGATAATGATTATCATTATTATTTAAACCATTTTTTATCATAATTTTCATTGATTTTTTATGTTTAACATTCATTTCATTGTTATTAGATTTATTATTACAATGATTCAATAATGTCTTTAGGCTAGATTTATTGGAATGATGATTGATCGTTGAATGATGATTATTCGATGGTATCTGTAATGAATCAATCAATCAATGAATCAATAGATTTTTTCAAAAAACAAAAACAAAAATCAAACCATTAATGTTGTTTTTGTTGTTGTTGTTGTTGATGATGATAATGATTTTGGTTTATGCCAACGTCTATGTGATGCTAAATTTGCTGGACAATTGAATACTTTATCACATTCTGGACAACGATATTCAATATGTACAATACGTGTACAACGATGTTGTGCTAATGCAAATGCATCAACAAAATATTCTTTACATAATGCGCATATATAATCACCAATTTTATTATCAATTTTTGCAATTTCAGCTCTTGCTTCCGGCGTTATAATAACAATATTTAAACTTGGATCAATATCACCGGAACGTTTTACAGCACAATCTTGTCTCATTAATGCTGAAAATTCTTCTTCATTATCTGAATCCAATATAAATGTACCAGAAACTGGTGATGATTTATGTTCATCAAATTTAAATTTTCTTAATGTTTTAATTCTTTTATGATTATTATTATTATTATTATTGGTTGTTGATTTTTTACTATTACCATTATAACCATTATTATCATCATTACAATCGTTCGAACGTTTTTTACTATTCGATATTGAATTTCGATTGTATCGATTGTTGTTATTGTTTATTGTTTTTTTACATTCAGAAAATGATTTTGATGATGATAATTTTTCCTCTTCCTTTCTTCGATCATAATCATGATTATGATTATGATAAGAATTTATATTAGATAATGGTGAACAGATTACCGTATTTGAACGAAAAAGTATATCATTCAATGTTGTCGATGCTGATGTCGATGTTGTTGTTGATGATGATGATGATAATGAATTCTGTTCATTTATTTGTTGTCTATTTTTTACAATCATATTCATTATTATTGATGGTTCTTCTTTTTTTCGATTACATCTTAGATCAAGTGCTTCATCAATATTTTCATTATCATTATCATCACTATTATTATGATCATCCTCATCCTCATCATCATATCCATCATCATCATCACCATCATTATCATCATCCAGCATTCGATTTTGATGATTTGATTCCAATTTCAACGATAATGATGTTCCCTAAAACCAGAAGAAAAAGAAGAAAAACGATCAAAAAAAAAGAAAAAGAAAAAGAAAAAATGATTAATTCTCATTCTGTTTTGGTTGGCCATATGTCTGTCTGTATTATATGTTTGAAGAGTGTATCAAAAACCTAAAAACCATTACATTATTCTCTCTCTTTCTCTCTCTTATAGATCATGAAAAAGAAAATGAAACAAAACAAAACCAAATAAATATTATTACTCTCTTCACAAACATTCTTCTATCAATATCGCAATCTCGCATAATTGAGTAAAAATAATAATGATGAGAAAACAAACAAACAAACAAAATATTTTCAAATGAAAACCATTATTATTATTATGATTACCATGCCGATAGTTAGTTGGTTAATTATCCGATACGACAAAAAAACTAACTGCCGTAATTTTTTCTTTTTTGTTTTTTCATTCCGATTCAGTTTTCGATTATGTCATGTTATACAATAACAACAACAACCATAGGTAAAATTGCAATGATCAAATTCAATCAAAATTGAGTCATTTTCTTTTTAACGATAATGATGGTAATGGTGGTGGTGGTTGTGGTGGTGGTGGTTGATTCATTTTCCAATTGAAATTTCTTTAATTAGAAATCCTAATTGACAATAATAGATTTTTTTTCGGTCCATTCAGTGTGTGTGTCAAAATTTAGAAAAATTAAAGTTTATCTAATCTTAAATGGTCTATTGAATTTTTAATTCAATTTGAATGGAAATGGTTTTTTTTGTAACCAAATGACATTCAACAGGGGAAAGAATACTGAATCAATCTATCTGATCCTATATGAAAACACAAAAGAACCTTGGCTCAATTCTTAATTTCATCGAGAATTCCTTGAAATGAAAAAAAAGTGGAAAAATATTTTCGGATTTGTAAAAAAAAGGTTTTCAGTTGAAAATAAACAAGAATATTTATGGCTTCAAATGAATTCAATTAATAAAAAAAAATTGAGAAGAAAAAAGACATAAATCATCATCATTACTTTTAGCAAAAAAAGGTAACTTTATCTTGTCATAATTCATAGCTACCTGTATTCTATTTACCTGTATACAACAGATCAAGAATAATAAATTAAATTCTTATTTTTCACCATATTGATTTCACATAATAATAATAATTCTCTCTCTCTCTCCCCATCTCTTGTCTATTCAAATATTAACCAACAAGAATGAATTGAAAACGACAATAAAAAAACATGCAAATGAAATTTTATAAAAAATTTTAACATTGTTTTTTTATATTTCATCAAATAACAACTCTTGTCACATAGCGGAATAAGACAAAAAAAAAATCAATTTTCAACTTTACAACAAAAAAACAAGAATAATGTTTTATTATTACGATTATTATTTTGATGGATGGATCGTTTGGAAAAAATCGCAAAACATAAATTTTAATATTATATGTTGTTAGTTGTTGACGCAAACCAAAACGAAAACGAAAATTCATGGATTTTAAAAATTCTCAAACAACAATATCTGTAATATTTATTATTATTATTATTATTCTGGTTTTCTGGTCTCTCTCACCATAGCGATAGATTTGATTTTTTTTTGGGAGAAAGATTTCGTTTATGAGAAAAAAATTATTATTATCATTTTCATTATTAATTAAGCTCTAAATTGATTTTTTTTTCTTTGGTTCTTTTGAGAACTCATTCATTCATTTCATTCAATTCTCTGATTATGATTGATCTATAGGAATCAGAATCAACAGAACGACAATAACAACAAAACAAAAATCGATATTCTTCTTCTCTCTCTCTCTTTTCGATATTATAAAACAAATAAATATTATTTGTTTTTCCCATTCAATTCAATTCGATTATTGTCATGGTTTTTGTTACTGGCAAAATATTTTTTTTCCCTTGAACAAGAAACAAAATTCCTGCAATTGATTTGTTCTCACTGTGTTTGTCAATTTGTTGTGCATGTGTCAAAGGCCAAAAACTACCAGAAATTACAAAATTTTACAAAATTAAACTTACATTTGTTAATGGATGATGATGTTGTAATAATTGTTCAGTAGTTAAAATATTACTACTTTTATAATAATATTCTAAAATATTATTTTTAGCAAAACATAATGCTGCATTTAATGAACATGTACGTTGTGTTTGTTCATTTAAAAGTTGTTTTTGTTCATTATTAATATTATCATTATCATTGATATTATCATCACCATTATCGAATGGTTTTGTTGATTGTCCAAGCATATATGATATTGCATTTTGCATCGGTATTGTTGTTGTTGTTGTTGTTTTAAAACAATCCGCATCATCATTTTTCTTCTTTAAATGATCTGTATTTGTTTGTTTTTTGGAATGAAAATTTATTTTTCATAAAAAAATAATTTTCCCATTGTAAAATCTCCCTTACCTGGTGAAACAATAACCGATGTTTGATTTTGTTTTCGGATTATCGATGATTGTTGTTGTTGTTGTTGTTGTTGTTTTGTATAATAATGATTATCAAATAATGGTTTTATTGAAAATGATTTCATCAAATTGGATGCTAATGTTTTGGTTGTTGTAGACATTGGTGATGATGATGATTGATTTGATAGATTATCATCCGCATCATCTTCGTCGTCTTCATCTTCTTCATCACCATTATTATCGCTATCATCATCATCATCATCATCATTATCATTGGGAAATGATGATTTGGATTTTCTCGTTGTTGTTGATGATGATAATGATGATCCAATACCATTACCATTATGATAAAGTATTGATGATAAATGTGATGAAAGATGACCACTTGTACGTTCATAAATTGATGATAAATTTAATCCATTTGTTGCAGCAATAGAAGCAGCAGCAGCAGCCGCTGCTGCTGCAGCTGTATGATGATGTGATAATGTTGACATGATTTGGATTTATTTTTTTGTTTTTAAAATCTAAGAATTAGTAATGCAGTATTTGTGACTAGCTTGAGTGTAATGAAACTTTTATAAAAAAAATTATTTGTAATTTTCTTTGGTGGTGCCTTGAATAATTTTTACACGTGAAAAAAAATTAGTAAAATGTTAACCTGAGAAAGAGAGAGAAAAATGGACCGATCGATTGATTTTTTTCAAAAATTGATCGAATTGACAGAAAAAAATGTAAATTGACTAGATTGTTCACACCGTATTCCGAAGAGATTCTGATGAATTCTAATGATAATTAAGAATTGAATTGAATTGATTGAGTGATTTTTTTGTGCAGTGCAGTGCTTATTATGGTAATGATTATGATGTGATATGTGTGTGTGTGTGTGATAATATATACGTGTTGAATATTGCCTATTACAAAATGTTTTTGTTGTTTTGTTGTTTTTTGGTTTGTAAATTTCGAAAAAAATTTGTTTGAATTGAATATTGAACAAGGGAAAAACGTTGATTATTGGAATTTTTTGGTTTGTTTGTTTGCTAAAAAAATGTTTGATTTTTTAAAAAATTTGAAAAAATTAAATTAAATTTTCCAGAAAACTTACCCGAATGATGGGAAAAAACAATAATAATTTAAAGTGTCGCATTGGAATTTGACTAGAAAATAACACACACACACACAAATTCAGACTAGAAAAAATCAATCAATGTTGATTCAATTGAATTAACCCATTTGATTCGATGAACAAAGATACGAGCGACAAGAATCGGATCGAATCAACTTTTCATCATGACAATGTCATGATCATGACGTGTTGATTGTATCAAAGGTAGATGATCGAATGAAATCAACAAACGATTGTTGCATTGTTNAAAAAAAAATGTAAATTGACTAGATTGTTCACACCGTATTCCGAAGAGATTCTGATGAATTCTAATGATAATTGAATTGAATTGATTGATTGAGTGAAATTTTTTTTTTGTGCAGTGCAGTGCTTATTATGGTGATGATTATGAATGTGATATGTTTGTGTGTGATAATATACGTGTTGAATATTGCCTATTACAAAATGTTTTTTGTTGTTTTTTTGGTTTGTAAATTTCGAAAAAATTTGTTTGAATTGAATATTGATCACGTGAACAAGGGAAAAACGTTGATTATTGGAATTTTTTGTTTGTTTGTTTGCTAAAAAATGTTTGATTTTTTTAAAATTTGAAAAAAATTAAATTGAATTTTCCAGAAACTTACCCGAAAATGATGAGAAAATTTACGGAAAAAATGATAATTTAAAGTGTCGTATTGGAATTTGACTAGAAAATCACACACCCACCACACAAATTCAGACTAGAATAAATCAATCAATGTTGATGATTCGATTGATTTAATTAACCCATTTGATTCGATGAACAAAGATGACAAACGACAAGAATCGAATAAAATCAACTTTTCAACATCATGACAATGTCATGACGTGTTGATTGTATCAAAGGTAGATGATCGAATGAAATCAACAAACGATTGTTGCATTGTTTGGAAATCTTTACGGAATAAAACCTTGTAACGGAAAACAAAAAATATCTAACCAACCAATCACCAATCACAAATGATGATTTTTTAGACGCAAGCGCTTTTTTCCGTCAAAAGAAACCAACAAAAAAAAAATCAAAAAGAAAATTTTTTTTTCCCAATTGAAAATGAAACACAGATATACAGAAAAAAAGGCCGAAACTTTATCAACAAACACACACTGTATGTATACCTACACACACACTGGTTGTTTAATGTTTTTTTTTTGTCGCATATAACCGAAAATGGTAAAAATGAAATAAAATAAAAATTATCGACCAGGAGAGAGAGAGAGAGAGAGAGAGAGAGAAAATGATCCAATAAGCCATCAGAATGATTATGGAAAAGAATATGGATCCTCCTCCTCCATACATACACAATTGGTGTGTATCCAGAAACCAACAAAAAAAATGACAATAGATTTTTCTTGATCACCAAAAAGATAATAATTTTTTCTGGTTCAATCAACGGATCTTCAAACAAACTGGTTCGCGTGTCTGTTCTACCTATTTAAGGTTTTTATTTTTTCCGTTAATAATACCGATGTTAACCTATGACCAATGTGCCATACTGATGATGATGATGCTGGGGAAAACTTACGAACAACGGCGAATGGAAAGAACATGGACCAATGTTTTTGACCTTAAAAACAGCAGAAAAAAAATAGCACGCGCTAAGCAAAGCTTGCGCGTGTTTTTTTTTCTTTCCTCGATCAACAGTTCAATGTTGTTGTTGTTGTTGAATATTTATGAATGATGGAAAAACTTGATCGTTTTATTTCTCGTATTCGAATGGTATCCATACTATGTTACCTTTTTTTTACATTAAGTATGACATGAATCCAAAAAAAACCAGATGCCAGTCAATCACAAGGAAACAAAAAGAACACCGTGGTTCTCTCTCTCTCCCTTTGTAAAAAAATGTATCGCGCGCGCGAGAGAGAGAGAGAGAGAGGATAATGCACACACAAACACATTTCTGGTGAATGAATGAATGGATGGATTCGTTTGTTTGTGCGTGTGTGAACTATACCATTTGGAAATGGGAAAAGAAGTCTTTTTTCATTTTTTGTCCCCTCACAATCATGGGCCAAGCCTGTGTGTGTGTTTGGCTGAAATATTTATTTAGATCGAAATTGAACAAGGGGAAGAAAACCAGCCAAATAATAATGATGATGATGATGATGTTCGGTTTTGGATCCAAAATGGATCATTTGCCTTTTTTTTTATTTATTTCAAATATACAAAAGCTATACTCGTTCGCGCGCGTTTTCACACAAATTGATAATATTTTTATGTAAAAGCTTGCGTGTGTTATAGCTGGCGCATTACAATTAAACACGCGTGTTTATGCAAATTTTCATTTTTTTTGTTGTGCTGATTACGATCAATTAATCAATCGATCGATCGATTGATTGATTGATCCATCAATCAAATTGGCCCGAAAGAAATTTTTTCAAAAAATTTTTTGATCTGGGAAATTTACGAAAATTTTCTAACGGAATATTTTTGGTTTTTTGTTTTTGTTGAACTTAATTCGTACTTGAAGATTCGTTATTTTTTTGTTTGTTTCGGCATGAGACTATAGTCAATAACAACAGTGAAAAGAAAAAAAAATAACCGTCGTTATTTCATTTTCTATGATGATGAGAGAATGGGAAACAAAAAAAAATTCAGATCAAAAAAAAATCCAATATGACCGTTAACATATTGGGAAAAAGCTTGCGCGGCGATACGGTTACCAGTAATGCACACAAACACACGAAACTTAACATAAAAATCGATCATGAAATAAAATCTCTTGCTGCGCGCGTGTTTCATTCATTCATTCATTCCGAAATACATTTTCTAACGGATCTCGTGCCAAAAGTAAAAGTAAAAGACATATACACGTGCCACAACAACAAAAAAAAAACGACTACGAAAATATTTTTCTGATCTGATCTGATTTTGTTTTCAGTTAATATCAGAGTTTATCGTTAATAACCGTTAAGATTTTTTTTTCTTCTTTAAACATTTCACCAACGATTATTATTGAATGAAATTAAAATAAAATAAATAACGGTTTCCTGTTGGTAGGGTTACCGGCTGATGATGATTAGCCGGACTATTTGGACTATATGTCAAGACATTTTCAAATTATTTAAACGGTTTTTTTTCCTTCTTTTCTTCGATAAACTGTTGAGAATTTGAAAATTAAACGGTAATTTTTTGTTTTCGGGATAAAGGAATCCGTTGGAAAAATTATCGAAAAAAAATTCGAGAAAAGAAAAAAACAAAATTTTCGCGCCATAGGAATTCCAAATTCCAATTCATTTACCCATAACAAACAATAGATGTCGCCAGCTGACTAGATAATTTATTAAAATTACAAAAAAAAAATGATTATAATGAAAATGATTATAATTTTGTTCAAAGACCAAAGATCAAACGCATGAAAATGTTGTAATATTTAAAAAAAATTTTAATTATAATTAATGAGAATCATCATTACAAATTTTTTCATTTTTTTGAATTCGACAAAATATTTTTTGAATGAAAGGGCAAAAAAAAAAAAAATTCCATATGGACATTCCGGTAAAAGGTAAAAAGGAAAAAACGAACGAAACGAAATGAAATCCAAAAAAAAGAAAAAGAGATCGGCTATTTATATATATAAATTGGTATATTACTTTGCAAAAAAAAAATCATTATAATAATAATTAAGCAAAATTATAAAGAACATATAATGTGAATGAAAAAAAATATTATATATCAACGATGAAGCAACAAAAAAAAAACAAAAAAAAAATCATATCGATGATGATGTGGATGATGATTGATAATTGGTGATCATTCATTTGTTGCTTTGCTTTGCTGTATTCAATATATAATAATTTAAATAAATATGAATATGATGAATACAAGCGTTTTACTGATCGATATTTTGTTTTTGTTTTTTTTTGCAGTGTCAATTTTTTTTTTAAATTGTTGTTGTTGAATATATAAAGAATACATGTAATAATGATTGACATTTTGAAATGATTTTTTGTTTTGTTTTGATAATATTGTGTATGAATAATATATGATTTCATCATTAGGAAATAATAATAATAATAATAATAATAATAATCTGATGAAAAGAGATAGATGATGATATTAATTATATTTATAATAGAATTGAGGATCGGATTTTCCGAATATTTTTGTTGTTATTGTATGATGTCAAATTGCGGCAATCTTATGTGATGATGATGATTATGATGATGAACGATAATGATGATGAATGATGATGTGAATTGACAAAAGACATATGATGCAACTAAATTTGAAAATGACCAAAATGATGAAGGGGTGCGTAATTTGTAGGGCTTTTGTTTTTGTTTTTGTTTTTTGGTGATTGAGATTAAGAAAAGAAAAAAATTAACAATCAAGATGCAAATAAAATGAAAAATGAGAATTTTGTGTGAGAAAAAAAATTCTTTGTCATTTTGTTTTCATTCGGTTCAATTAATTAATGTTTGATTGTGATTAAATAATTATATTACTTTAAAAAAATTCTCCAATAATTGATGAATCAATTAATGATCATGAAGTTAACTGGTTGAAACAGAAACCGTTACTTGTTGTGGTTGTTGTTGTTGCTGCTGCTGTTGTTGTTGTTGATTTAATTGTTGTTGGCCAACAGCTTCCGATTTTATTGCCTGCATTGTTGTCGTTGTTATCGATTGATTATTAGCATTAACTATGGCTGCAGCATTCGTGACAACTGTAGCAGTCGTTGGTTGTTGTTGTTGTTGAATTGTACCAACCGTATTGTTTAGCACCGGTGGTTTATGATGTGATAGCATATGTTTTCGTAGACCTTCACGTGTTTTGAATTTCTTTTCACAATTATAATAATCGCACGCATATTTACGTTCATCCGAATGTACAGATTTATGTTTGGCAACATTAGTTGATTTATAAGAACCATAATCACAACCAGGCCAATCACAACGATATGGTTTCTCCAGGATTGTATGCCTGATCATATGATCTTTTAGATTACGTTTCAATTTATATGCAGCTGTACAGCCTTCAAATTCACATTTAAATCTCGCCAATTCCGGATTACGACTTCGTGATTTTGGTGGAGCAGGTTGTGGTGGTGGTGGTTGCGGAACTGGAGCCGCAATAGCATGCGTCACCTGAGTTGGTGCCTGTATCGGTGCATGTAATTTTACATGGTTAAGATAAGCGCCCTGTGAATCGAATGATTTGCCACAGTTCATCACTCCGCAGATGAATTCTTGATGACCATCGGGATGTTGAATCATTGTTCCAGGAGCGAAAAATTGCTGCGGTGCATTAGCAACGACTTGTTGTTGTGGTGGTGGTGCCGCATTCTGTGTCGCTACATTCACCGTATTGGAAGCATTATTGGCGGCATTCGGATTATGATCTTTATGTGCACGCATATGTGAACGTAGATAACTGGAGCTGACACAACGATACGTACAATTCGGAAATGTGCATGCAAACGGCTTGTCCGGTCGATGCGTATGTGAATGATCCCACAATCCTTTGCGTGTTTTATAACGACGGCCACAATTCTCCACCGTACAGATGTAATTCCGTTCACTCGAATGGGTTTCTTTGTGTTCGTTAAGCTGAGTCTTGGTCAAAGCAGAATATCCACAATTAGGAATGTTGCAACGAAATGGTTTTTCTACCTTGCTATGTTGCATCATATGTTGTTTGAGATCATATAATGTGCTGAACAATGAACTGCAGTTCGAATTGTTACATCGAAACAATTGCGTGTTGATCATCGCATTAGTTCCGGCCACTGCAATCGCTGTCGTTATCGGCTGTGGTTGAGTGCTAGGTACGACCACTGATGTATTACCAACATTTCCACCTCCGGATTGTTGTTGAGCCACAATCGTCTTATGCGCTATAGCTGTTCCGACATTTGATGCAGGCGGTTGCTGTAATTGAATCAATGTCACCTGTTGTCCAGTCGGCAATTGACCAGTAATCTGAGTCGGTTGTAATGTTCCCTGTTGTCCTTGAGCATTTGCCGTAATTATCTGAGCAATCTGTTGCTGTTGAGATTGATGTTGAGAGACAACTGTTACTTGTTGTGTCTGATTTTGCTGAATTTGTTGTTGTTGCTGCTGTTGCTGTTGTTGCTGCTGCTGTTGTTGTTGTTGTTGTTGTACGATTTGGACCGTTTGTTGTTGATTCTGTTGTTGGCTACTGGATTGATTATTCTGTTGCATTGTACCATTTTGATCATGTACAGAACGATGGCGTGTTAATTCGGTGATCTTAGAAAATTCTTCATTACAATCAGGCCATTCACATTTGAATTTACGTTCCATATGAACACGCATATGTGCTTTCAATGAAGCTGGTGTTTGTGAACGAAATTCACAGCCAGGCCAAACACATGGATATGGATGATCAGAATTATGAACAGCTGCATGTTCATTAAGCTCTTCACGTGTTTTAAAACGACGACCACATTCAGGAAAACTACAATTGAATTCTCCATCACCAGTATGTACCAATTTATGATTATTGATATGACGTCTCGATGATGTCTGATATTCACATGATGGCCAACCGCAAATATAAAGACCATCACGATATGAATGCATAACCACTTCAGCTGCTGCAATGGCCATTACATCTTTCTTTTCACCAAGATTATTATAATTGGAAGCATTCATATTATCAACAGCATGTTGTACGGCTGCTGCTGTTTGTGGTTGTACAATATAAGCTTGTGTAACTCCATCCGATTGATCCATATTTGGATCACAAAATGTTTGTAATGTTGTTGAAAATTCTTCCGTTGCCCAATCTTCCTGTAGATATCGTTGTAATAATGCTTCATTACCACGAATTGTTTCCTGAAATCTTTGCTCAATTCGTTCAAATTCATAACGTAATTTTTCATCATTAATAATATTTGATTCATTATATAATTTTTGTACATAATTTTTATATTCCAATAATGCATGTAAACATTTACGAATAAAATCAAAATCAAATAATGATTCATTCGTTTGTAAACAGATGATCTCTGTCGGTTTTATTTCTATCGCATCCATAGTGGTAGATTTTTTGTTTCTCTTCTTCTTCTCTTATTCACACTTGTTCTTCATTCACAAATATACACTGCTTCGTTTTGTTGTTGTTGGTTATTTTTTTGTTGGTGGTGGTTGGCCGGCTTTCGATTTTATTTTCTTGTTTTTTTAAATCAAAATAACTTGACGTTGATGCTGATGATGATGATGGTGGTAGTTGCTAGCCGGTTACTTGAAAATTCAAATCGCTATTTGTTGTTGTTATTTTTAAATGTTGCTGCTGCCGATTTTGCGGACGCAAACATACACATATGGAAAAAAACGACAGTGGAAAGGTAATGTGATGATCCTCGTTATGATGATGTTTTCTATTGAATAGAAGAAGTAAGACGGGAATGCTATCAAATTGAATGGAATAGCGTCCAAGTGATTTCTCTTTTATTATTATAGTGGCCAAATTCAAAAGAAGCGGCTTTTTTATGTGAATGATGATTGTAGGACAAAAATTACAACAACAGCTAGCTAGATTGTTGGAAAAAAAGAAGAGAAAAAAAATGAAAGTGAAAAAAATTTTCCTTTAGCAAAGAACTGAGTATATGATATGTGTGTGTGTTTGTAGATAACTGTACTGTGTATTCCATTCAATTGATAATGATATTAGTTTATAGAATGTATGATGTGGTGATATTTTCTCATTTGTATTTCCTATGTGTATTATCACATAGTTTTAAAAGAAAAAGGAAAATAATTTGGCGTTTGTTGCAAGAAGCACAAAAGAAAAACAACAAACAAAAACCACTATCTCCAAGGCAAAAAAAAGTTTTTATCATCACTTTCAATGATTCGCTCACAATATTCTATGTTGCCATAATAAAGCTATTTGACATTTTTTTTTGTCTGCTATATAACAGTGTGTGTGTTTGTGTGTATCTATTGGGCGCCACCACTATCATCCACTAAACTCAATATACGAAAAAAGAAATTTTCTGGATCCTGGGTTATTGATTACAAAAAGAAATGGATTTTTTTGTTCTGGTGGTGGTTACCACTGATTTCCTATCCTATTTGGCTAGGGGGGACAAAGACGAACCAAACAAGAATATTAAGTTCTCATTTGATTGAGCGCGCGTGTTTCATAATAATTGCTATATTTTGACATGTATTCTTCATAGGTCTAACTGCTATTGCTATAAGTCAGTGATAAGAGTGTCAAAGGCTATCAACCTTTGTTATTCTTTGAATGAATTTGTCAAATATTGTTTGAACCTACAGTGTGTATTTGTCCATACAATACTTGCTATGTCTGTCATTGATGTTATTTGTTAAAAAAATAATCCAGATAAATTTCTCCAACAAAAACAGAAGTGGTTAATTTTAGCAGCAGCATCAATATCATTTAGCAATAAAAACAAACAACTAGAAAATTTTTCAATAGAAAAAAAATGGCTACCATCACATACAAGATGTTCATAGCATCTCATAACACATAGCAAGTATATTTGAAAAAAAAAATTGTAGCAAAATTGAACAGAAAGAGAAAGAGACTAACAGAACATGGTCAAAGTTATATAGAATTTAAAAAAATAGAGAATATTCATGCGAATAATAAAATAATATTCTATCTTGGTTTGTTTGACATTTTTTTAAACAAAATTCAAAAAAAGCTGAAAATTTTTCATCTATCTTTCTGAGCTATTTCTTTCAGTTTACCTTGTTTTTCTGAATGTAATTATAAAAATATATTTGTCAATCAACAAGGAAAACCAAACGACCATTGAAATATGTTGTTAATGTCTATTCATGTTGTTTGTTGTGTATGTTTTAAGTTATTTTATTATAATGACAAAACACTAACCAGTGATGATGACGATGATGATTAAAAGAAATGAGGATGATGATCGATGTTGAACAGAAAAATGAATAAATATTGAAGAAAAAAAAATTTCACGGCCTTGATTTGTTGTTTTTTTTCTTGATGAAAACTTTTCCTTCTTTTTTTTTGATTGATCAGATCAGATCATATGATGGTCTACCGACAACTTTTTTTTTTCGTCACTGCTCCAAGAATATTCAGACAAGAATATAGATTTCGCAGATTTTCTTAAATGTTTGATTCGATTATTTGATCCTAGATATTTGAAAAGAAAAGAAAACAAAAAAAAATTCAATTGATGAAAATGAATTCATAAATGGTTATTTGATTATTAATGTTGCCTGACACAAATAACCTATTCAAAATTATGATTGATCAAATGAAATGAAATCATATCAATACCCGGTGACAACATTTTCTATTCATATATATTTTTGGGATAATGACAATCCAATATGACATAGGTAATGTGATTGAATTGTTCTCTCATAAAGGATGGTTATGCCGGTGGTTTCAAATTTCGTCAAATTGAATCACCGGTATCATCAATTATCATTGGCTAATACCGGACAACAACAATTCAACACGATAATTCAAAAACAATACGGTAAACCGCCAAAAAAAACGCAATGAACATCTCAAATCATCACCCATGTGATTATTTGTTGTCACATTTGGATATTATTATTATTATTTTTTGGTTTGGTTGGTTAGGCATTATACAACAGGCAGTAGTTTATACCATTTTCTCATTTTTTATTATTATAAACACACACACATTATACATTTTATTTCTTTCGGTGGCGGTCAAGATGTGTGGTGGTACAATTTTCAAAATACAAAAAAAAAAATTACATACACTACTCTTTTTTTTTTGTAAAAATGGATGATGAGTGAGTGGTGTGTTTATAAGTTACGAATACGTACGTTCCGTTTGGCGTTCACGTTCTTTATGTTTTGATCTCACAACAACAATTTTTGTGGTGCCTTTTGGTCGACAACAACAGCGATGATCTCGGATCGGATCGTTTCGTTTGAAGAAGAAAAAAACAGCGATAGATCTTTATGTGTGGTGGTATAGGGAATGACGGCGCGACGACTAACGATGATGATGTTGATGATAATGGTGGTGGCGTGTAACAAAACAACAAGAAAATTTTTCGAAGAAGTTGTTTTGGTAATAAAAATGATGTGCCTCTATTGACGACAACAGCCAGAAAAAATAAACCGAAACCGGTGGAGATAGATGGACGATCAGCAAAAAAACAAAAACAAAAACGAGATCAAACGATCTTCATGTATCAGGATTGTGTGGTTGGATCGTTTCGGATTCGATCGTCTGTGTGTGTGTGTGTGTGGTTGGGGGGTTAGTAATAATGATGATAATAATGATGGCTGTCGTTTTCAATCGGTGGTGGTGGTGGTGGTTAGTGGATGGATGGATGGAAGAAGAAACAAAAAAAGTAGTGCCAATATAAGATTTAGAATTGAAATTGAACGAAGATGATGATGAAAAAAAAACAGGTGCAGATATATCTAAAAAAAGAAGTTGTTGAAATTATTATCCAAAATAACGAGAAAAATCGAAGTGAATGTACATTGCTAGAAGCAAACAAACAAAAAAAAATCAAAATGGTGAAGTTCGTTTTTTCGTTATTTTCTTCTTCTTTTTTTTTTGCTGTAAAACGTTCGAATCGAATGTTTTCCTCGACAAAACACACACACAGTTCACGAGGGAGAGGAAGAGGGAATGTGCACGCGAGAATACCACACACACACACATACACACATTCCAAATGCATTGTGGAATGAGAATGAACTAGGTGTGGTAGTATCCAAAATAAAAATCAGCGCGCGCTGTGTCCTCGTTTAATTTGGCTGGCGGTTACTGCCTGCTTGTTCTTTTTTTTTTTTTGATTTTTGGTTCTCCTCCTGCCTCTGCCTTGTTTTTTTTTTTTAAATGCCCCGCTGCCACAATGAAAATTGAGC